TGCAGCGCTACTAACTGGAGATAGACTGATATTCACAGTGTCATGAGAATGGGGAGAGAATGGATAAGTTAGCCTTGAGTTTCTGTCTGATAATAAAAAGTAAGAAGTTTTGCTGTTGCTAAAGAAATTTCAAATAAATAATTAGAAAGTGTACTTTAAATAGGCAGTGTCCCAGTCTACTGCTGGTTAAGCAATTCTACCCTGACAGTGTATTCCACTAATAAAGCACAAAGATAAGTAGACCTTGAGAAGTTTTAACTAACTTTGAAAAACACAAAAGCTAATGCAATAGGTGGTCTTAGGCATGTGAACCTCCTTATAGTGAAAATGATTGTTTAGTGTGTTTGCATAGCTATGTCTTAAGTAAAATAATTGGTTAAAGCATAGATAAGAAAAATCCTCATTTTAATTATAATGGGGGTCTGAAGATAGGATCGTTGGATCTTAACTCCGAGACACAGCTCAAGATCAAAGGTGCTGGGACTTTTACCCCTGCACAACCATATTGCACAGAAGACGGAGCTCCGGACGAGAGCAGATCCTGACTGGCCACCGGGAGACGTCCAGCTGTCTTTGCCAGGAGGGGTGAGCATTAGATGCTTGGCGTATGTGTTCTCTTGATTTGATGCTAATAGAGACATGCACGTGTTTAAGGATATTACTGTGTAAGGCTCTTTCATTGGGAAAGGGCCCTGCAGACCTGTAGCACCCTGAGTTCACTAGGAAGGGATATTGGCCCTGAGCCTTGGGAGGGGTGAAGTTGGGCCCCTTGTCCCTGCGTACACACAAGGACTGGTACGGGGTGGAAGCGTTAAATTGTGCGGGTAACATCCTAACTAAATAAAGAAAATGCATCACCAGGGACGAGGGGACAGCAGAAGCTCTGACTTGGACTGGGCGGCGGTGAGAGGAAACTGAAGACGCAGGCAAAACCACAAGGCAACGCAAGGGCGCACACGTGACCCCACAGACACTACTACTATAAAAAGCTCCGGCTCTGGGAGCAGGGCGCATGCGCATTAGCCTCAGTGGAATTCAATAGGGACCATCACTCAAAGAAGAGCCTGCTTTAACCAACACACACAGCATTGACGAAACTCTGTAGTGCAGACGTTGCCATAGTTAGGTCAGCCTAGCCCCCACTTTAGACACAGCTGGGTCTGCGGAACAATTCTCGGCTGGCCACTTTCAGCTGTAGCGCTTGCAGTACAGACATGCTTTTAGTTCCAAGAGAGCTCTCTGTGTGAGCCCATGACAGCTCTGTAACAAAAACACCTCATGTGTCCTGGTCTTTACACCCAGATTATAGTAATATCGAGCACAGAGGGAAACTGAGGTATGTACTGGAATCATAAAAATATTACCAACATTCCCACATGCAATGGTCATAGCCCTCAGAGAGAAAGCAAGGGGTAGGGGCTGGACTTTAATGCATCCAATAAGGATAAATTAAATATATATATTTTGTTGACTAATGGCACAAAAAAATAAGTATTTCAAATTTGTGTACGTCTAAAAATGATACTGGGATGAGACATAAGCCAAGGGGGGAGGAGGGCAAGACATGGAAACCAGTCTACACATGTATGAGTAGTAAAAGTATAGAGTTATTACTACAGAGTTTCTTTAGAGAACCCACAGCTTCCAATAACCAAAGGGACAGGAATGCTTACCCAGCGAGGCCACATTCTCATAGTTCTCCTCCATGACGTCTCTGTAGAGGGCTCTCTGAGCGGGGTCCAGCAGAGCCCACTCTGACTTGGTGAAATACAGAGCCACCTCCTCAAAGGTCACCAGCCCCTGAAAGAGCAAGAGCCCCCCACGTAGTACTTTAGTACGACCCCAGGATTCCTGGGAGAGCAGGAACAGGAAAATGGAAGCTCTGGGAGGGACATGGTCGCACAGTCCCACTCCCACCCTGAGGAGCCAGGAGGCACCAGGTTGAGGGGAGAAAAAGAGATCCCCTCACGCTGGCCGGGGGGGGCAGGGGTCATCATATTCATCACACACCTACTAGCCAGAGACGGATATAGGAAATGGAGTCGCCGGCAGGGTCAGGGACAGCCTCCTGGCAGGAATCCCAATATCCCCCCCATAAGATTGTATATAAAAACAAACACCTGGAAGAAACAGGAAGTCGACAGGAAAAAATGTCAGAAGCTTGGAATTGTAGAAAATTAATAAGGCGAAGCAAAGAAAGATATGGAGAAAGCTCTGGCCAGCAGGATTAAGGAAATATGAAGGAGGGTTGTGTTTATTTTAGTATATTAACAACAACAAAAATCCTAACAATGTTATTGGTCCATTAGTAGACGGAAAGGACAGAAACATCAATAATAATAATACAGAAGAAGTAAAAATGTTCAATGACTATTTCTCTCCTGGATTTGGGGAAAACAAGCAAATGATGTTGTGGTATTTTTATTAACAATGACACTCTTTTCATTAAAATCAGAACTCATGAGGATGTTAAATAGAAGCTCCTAACATCAGACGTTTTTGAAATCAGCAGTTCCAGATATCTTCCATTCAAGAGTTTTAAAAAAGCAGGCCGAGGAGCTCTCTGGACCATTAATGCTGTTTTTCAAGAGCTCTTGGAACACTGCGGAAACTCCAGAAGACTGGAAGAAAGCTAAAGTTGCCCCAATATTTAAAAAAAGTGTAAAAGGGATGACCAAGATAATAGCCCTCACATTGAACCTGGGCAAGATAATGCGGGGGAAGAGGGGGAATTAAAAGAGGGTAATATAATTCATTCCAATCAACATGAATTTAGGGAAAACAGACCCTCACAAACTAATTGGATTTTTTTTTTTTGAAGGTGATCAGAAGTTTGGTTGATAAAGGAATAGTGTTAATGTAATATACTTTGATTTCTTTAAGGTATTTGACTTGGTACAACATGATACTTAAACAACTACATCAATACAAAATTAACATGACATACATGAACTAGATTTAAAACCAGCTGATACATTTCAAAGTGTAACTCTAAATGGTCACGTGGGTGGGTTTCTATTAGGGTTCCACAGGGATCGGTTATTGGCCCTCTGCTATTTAACTTGCTTATCAATGACTTGGAAGAGAACATATCACTGATGAAGTTTGCTGATGACACAAAGTTTGGGAGAGTGTTAAATAATGAAGTGTGTCAGTTGGTTCAGGCTGCAGCACTGGGAGTCTGGGAAGTTTTTGCAGCCCTGGCCAGGGGGTTATTTCCTGTTCCACAAACAGGGGAAAGTTCCACACCCAAACCCCAGGAGTCTGCTCCTTCAATGTGGGGCCTAATCCGAATTAATTCTGGCAAGTTTGTCCTCTCTCTTTCCCCACCCTGATTATTTCCTGCCCTCTCCCACCTCCAGCAGCTCCCACCCTCCTGTACATTTACGGCCCATCTCCCTCCAGCCAGAACCCACCACCAGCTCCGTGATAATCCCATACCTCAGCTAACTCCGCTGCAGCCATTGCCTTTCCTCTGGAAGGGTGGGACGATCTAGAGCAAAACATGGACATTATTCTGTAGTCTGTCGGGGTGAAAAGAGCAACTGGAGAGATTTCAGAATGGGCTTTTGTCCATTTCTCCACAGAGTCCCCACGAGACGTTTTTCCCTGGAAACTGACATTGTAGGCTCTGCCACACTGGAAAACAGTGACTTTAGCAGAGGTAGGTCTTCCCACCAGGATTAAACCCTCCCAGGCCTGGTCTACAAAGACCTGGTCTACACTAGGTCAGCGTAAGCTGCATTGCACTGACTTCGTTGCACATATATCTGCACTTAAGTTTGTCTTCCACCAATGTAAGCTGTCCATTATGCCAACACAGTAACACCACCTCCCCAAACAACACTGAGCCATGGTCGATGTACTGAGGTCAACACAGTGCAAGTGTAAACATTGCGTTACCTGTGCCGACCCTAACAGGTCTCCAGCAGCTATCCCACAATGGCTCAGGGCAACCATTTCCCACCTAAACAATGAGAAACTGCTGTAGATAAAATGGGTGGGAAAACACCCCAAAGCTGAGGAGATTTTAAATTGACACTGGCCAATTTGAGAGAAAATGGAGAAAAATCTGAGAAAGGAGAATTAGTCAATAATTTGAGAAAAAATAGGGAATTCACATGGATTTCCTACCCACAATTGATAGTTAGAGAAAAGGGGAACAATTGAGGAGTTTGTTGCCAATTTTAGAGGACAGGAAAGCAGAGGAGATTTCACCCCCCTCTCCCTGTAATCCCTGGCCTGTTGAGAGATGGTGAAATCTGCCATGTCACACTCTCTCTCCGCTTCCTCCATCTCTGTCTTCCCCCCTTTCCCTTCCTGACACCTCCACCCTCCAGACACACAAAGGGCAAACCCCACTGGGGCCCAGTCTCTTCCACTCCTGAATCCCCCAGTTTGCTCCCTGGGCAGATCCTGGCAGGAGCTGAGGGCAGCTGCTTCACTGCTGCACAGCAGCTCCCAGCCCTCCCTCAGGGACATTCACAACCAGGGAGCACATTCCCAGGGGCTGTGAAATCCGAAGCTCCCGGGACATTTGTACAGAGTCACTTCCCTGCCCAACCCCAGCACTTTCCCTGAGGTCTCTGGCTCAGTGGTGGGTGTTGGCAGAGCCCGGGGTGACTGTAGGGGGCTAGTTCCAGCCACTGGAGAAAGTCTCTCCCCTTGGCTGGGCACTGAAGGAGCTTTAACGAAGGTCTCTCCATGGCACAGACCCTGCTGGGGCAGAGGAGCTGCTCGGCCCAGCGTTCCCAGATCACACTGGAGGCAGCAGCGTGTGACCCAAGAAACTCAAACCCAACACTTTGAGTGGAAAGTGAGAGAGAGCAGCCTCCCCTCCATCAGCAACAGCCAGCGCCCCTGGTAACAGTAACTAATGACACCACCTCCCTCAAGTTAATCCAGAGTCACGCCTTGTTCTTATTGCAATGTCAATCAAGACACTGGAGTCAATGAGACCGGAAATGTGGTATAGGAGGGAGGAGCCAAAATCCTTTAAAACATATAATGGGGGATCTCCCCTTTCCCACCACCGCTGCTCCCCACATCTGGGGCAAGGACTCAGGGCAATTTGCCAACCACCGTTTGGGCAGGGCTGGAGGGTTTGGAACGTGTTAATAACATGCTACAAGGACCTCTTACAACTTCACATATAACGTTGCCACACAGAATTCATTGGGACAATAATGGCCAGCAAATTATGAGTTTTCCAATGGTCCCTCACAAGGCATAATTTGTACCATGATTATTGCAATCAGTTGTAGGGTGTGGACACCGGGCTACGTTCTTTCACTCCCCCCCACCCCCACCCCGTGCCATCCATTCACACAGGCACCAGGGAGCCCAGGTCAATGCTGCTTTAACAGGAGAGAGGAGGGAATGGAGGAGCCAAAAGATTCAACTAATTCTCATGTCCTGTCCCTCGCAAATAATGATCACCAGGGATCCAAATCAGCACCAGGGGGAAAGACCCCTCATGGTGACTGACTGTCATAGGTTCTGGACACTTTTCTGGCAAAAGCAATGGCCAGAATGTGAGGCGTTAATACAGGAGGCGGGAGAGAGGCGGCTGCTCTGGGCACTGCCTGAGGGAGCAGGGACTAGGCCAGAGATAGGCAAACTACGGCCTGCAGGCCACATCCAGCCCGTGGGACCCTACTGCCCGGCCCCTGAGCTCCTGGATTGGGAGGGTAGGCCCCTGGCCCTCCTCCGCTGTTCCCCCTCCCCTGCAGCCTCAGCACACTACGCCGCCGGTGCAATGCTCTGGGTGGCTGGGCAGCGCAGCTACAGAGCCGCGGCCTGACCCGGTGCTGTGTGCTGTACTGTGCCGTGGCTGACTCCAGCCACAGCCGCGCCGCCACCCACCAGTGCTCCAGGCGGCGCGGTAAGAGGGCTGGGGAGTTGGGGGTGGTGGTCAGGGGGCAGGGGTGTGGATAGGGGTCGGGGCAGTCAGAGGGCAGGGAACGGAGGGGTTGAATGGGTGCAGGGATCCCGGGGGCCTGTCAGGAAGAAGGGGGTTTAGATGGGGCAGTGCAGGGGGCAGTCAGGGAACAGGGAGTGGGGGGAGGCAGGGCGGATGGGGCAGGGATCCTGAGGGGGCCATCAGGGAACTGGGGGGGTTGGATGGGGCAGGAATCCCAGGGGGGCACATCAGGAGGCAAGAAGCAGGATGAGGGATAGGGGGTGGGGGCCAGGCCACGGTTGGCTGTTTGGGGGGGCACAGCCTCCCCTAACCGGCCCTCCATACGATTTCCGAAACCCGATGCAGCCCTCAGGCCAAAAAGTTTGCCAGCTCCTGGACTAGGCCATGCACAGAGCAGCCCCAGGAGGGGAGGAAACCCCTCATCCTGTACCTGGGGAAAGGGAAAGTCAGTCAGGGCCCAGCCCAGTGTCCTGTTAGCAGCTGGGAGACACCGTACCCCAGACGGCGAGCGGGAGGCCCCCCAGCTTTCATAGAATCGTAGGCCTGGAAGGGACCTCGAGAGGTTGTCTAGTCCAGTCCCTGGCACTCAAGGCAGGGCTAAGTATTATCTAGACCATCCCTGAGAGGTGTTTGTCCATCCAGCTCTTAAACACCCCCAATGATGGAGACTCCACAACCTCCCTGAGCAATTTACCCCAGCGCTGAACCCCCCTGACAGTAGGGAC